ACTGAGGAAGTCACAAAAAACAAACTGCATCAATTATGAGGGAAAGACATTCATTAGCAGCCAGATAAAGACGATAACAGCTGTCACATTGGACCAAAGTTGGCAGTTGGTGGGAGATGCAGAAACATGTGCAACACACACACACAAAACCAGAGGTACATCTTGAATCTGTTTGAGCTTGCTGACACAAAGTGTCAATAGTGACACGAAGGGCTCATGTCATTCTCCAAAGAACAAATGATAGTGGAGAGGAAAAAACAAAAAATCTGCTTAAATTTCAGAGAATAATGACTTCAAATGTTTCAAGTTTTCAGGACTTTATAAGCAAGACAACTGCATATGCCTGGGACATTTTCTGTTTAGCTGTTAGTTTTTACTGTGTGATGGCAAGAGATGACAGGGCTTTGTCTCTAGTAAAAAGACAGATAAAATAGACCAAAGGTTTTAAGCGAAGCTCTAGAGAGGCTGCCTAAACACTTCTCACTCACTATACGAGATAACAGCATCAGCATAATAAAAAAAAAATCAAAAAAGTGGAGAGAAGATTTATGGCTTTGTATCAAACAGTTAATTACTCTTCATGAGAGCACTTGCTAAATGTCTCAAATGTAAACATTTACATATCCTTACTTAATAATGACAGAGAAAGCCATTTTCATTATATGATTTGTACAGTTGACATGTACAGTATAAACATACATGCATGACCAAAAAAGAAACGTCTGGCCACTTTTAACCTCATCTACACTGAGTGAGTCATCATGATCTCCATGGGTTGATTTAATTGGTGACAGCTTTAGTGCTCATTGTTGTGATTCTTTCTCAGGGAAGACCTGCATAGCATCATGTGTTTCAAACACAAACAGTAACCTTCATGACCATGTGTTGACTCACTTGTGTGTTACATCATGTGGTGGATGGAAACAAACTAGACGTTTATTTATAAGGAAAGTCTTCAGTATTCATGAAATCATTGTTGGACAGGACTGATCTTACTGTGCTCAATTTGAAATTATACATTTAATCAAAACCTGACATGTCTGCAGGGCTGCTGTCCAGATGACCTACATCAAATCGAAGCCAAACCAGTATCTCACTTCAGAATCAACACCAACTGCATGTGGAAGTTACTGCTGCCCTTTTTTGCCCATGTTTAACTGTTTGTTTCAATGATTTTGGATTAATATATTAAATAAAACAGCATTTGTGTGAAAAATAAGTTCGAAAACCAGGATTCAGGTACAGCTTCTGTCCATCCTCTACTTCCCTGTGGTGTTTTATTGTCTCTTTCTCTGTTACGTAGCTATATCTAAATGACATCTACACTTTATAGTTTTCTCCTCAGCTTTGCATGGACATAGGAGAGAATCCCTCCTTTTCTAGCACACTTACTTTACAAACAGCTTCTTCCCTTAATAGTTTCCAGAATCAGAAATGTAAAGTCACTGCAGCAGCCAAGCCAGCACCTCTGAATTCAAATCATAAATGCAGCATCGGTATGTATAATGTGATGTTTGAAATGGCTGTAAATGATTTCAATCAATATAAACTTTATCAAGAAACTTGCGTATCAGTGGCACTAACCAATGCATCAACTCAGTGTCAACTTAAATGATTTCCAAATAACTTGAGCTATCACTTGTTGAAAATGTCCAACCACCACAGTAATTATTCTTGATCTAGAAAAGAGTCACAGGGTTTTCTGATTAATTCCACCATCTAGTATAACACCCTCATATTCATAAATCAAAAGAGATGCTTTGTCAGCGGGCTAACTACATGCAAGTCTTCCTCCTCATTGTAAAAGGACCTTGTTTCTTTTCATATAATAACAATGGGTTAAAAAAAAAAACGTTTTAAAGCTGGTTTTGTATGAGTAATATGTTTAGATTCCAGTACAGTATATGCTGCCATGACGTTTCCTCCCTACATTAAAAAAAGGGCACATAAACCTGCACTTAATTTTTGGTTTGGTTCGGTTCAGGACCAGTGGTGATTAAAGGTTGATGAGGTTGGCTTATTTGTCAAGTCAAGCCCTGCGACAGCAGGTAAAAAGTAAAAACTTGATGAGGGGGAGGAGAGAAAAAAAAAAAAAAACTTTTCAGACCAGACTTTGTTTAACTTTGACGTCAGATAAAATATTATCACTTGCTTCAAAATGCGCTCTGTTTTGTTTTGAATTAAACTCTTCATATGAACTTCTACCCATAAACCCATGACTCAAGAGTGAAAAGTTATGACTCTTTAACAAATGTGTTCCACGTATAAACTTTTAAAGGCATAATTAGCCCCATTTACGATTGTCGCTTGTTTACCAACACCCTTAATACACTTCCCTGATATCTAAAGGATTTCACGGCATCATGATCATTCTATGTCACTCTTGTCCTCATCACCACCACCACAATGTAACTGTCAAACACATTCTCTAACACTCACATCATTGTATTAATTATCCCCAACAGCCAACTGTGTCCTGGGTATTCACGTTTTTCCATCAAGATAATTAAAAACATTATCACCACCATGTGTACGGCAGATGGAGAGCAACACGAGTGAGTTGCATGTGTGTTCTTTTTGTGGGTGTATATAGACATATGCAGGCGTGCTCAAGTGTACGTGTGTATATGCATGCGCACGGAGCACACGAGGGCAAACATGTTTTATTGTATACTGTGTTGTTTATATGTTACTTGTTAGTAAAGATTCAAAGCAGCCAAAGAATATGCTTTTATGATTCCTCTGTAGAATGACAACCATGCCTATAGCAAAACAAAGCCTACGCTGAAGTGTACTGATGCTTTTGTCCCCCCCCTTCATTCTTCTACATGTTTTTCTGTCTTGCTTTAAACTTTCTACATCATTCCTTTGTTTGATTGTCCTCCGTTTCCACATTCATTCATGGATACATTCATCTGTTCATATATACAACCAAGCATACATAGCTATTACCAAACACTGCTAAATTAGACTTTTCTTTCTATCAAACTCAAATTCAAAATGTGAGACATAACTCTGATCTTTTTAGTTATTTGTTCTGCTTGATCTCAGGTCTGCTGCATCCTCTTACAAACATTAGTAAACACTAGTGACAAACACAGCTGGAAGAAGCAGCATGTCCTATATCACACCAAGGAAACGCATTATATCAGCTTCAACAATCGAATTGAAAACAATCGCACAGAAATGTGAATGTTGCCACGGCGACAGCTCTGTATTCAAGAATATTTACAGCATGGAAATATTTGTCCCTGGTGCTCTCCGTCTATGGCAAGTGAGCCAGCATGCGTGTGCGCACACTTCTTTTTTTCCCTCCTCTTGGAAAAGTGAATCATGGCAGGGGATTATGAATATGGCAAAAGCACAAACAGCCTGAGAATGGAGCCTCTGGCTCAGCCAGCCTCGGCAGGATCTACAGTAGAGATAACTGGACCATGAAATCACTTTTCTTTAGTCAGACTTAACCAAACTCCACCCACCTCCTCACACACACCCATTGTCAAGTTATGCTGTGTTGCAGAACTCCATCTTTTTAATTCAAACTTCTTTCCTACAAGTTCAGATTTCACATCATCTCAATCAGGGACAGGGTTTGCAAAGCGTTTACACTTTAACCACAAGCAGCCAAAGTGGAGCTTAATTCAAGATGTCTGACAATTAAGCTGCATGGGCCCACATTAGCTAAAGAGACCCCATAATTACTTGAGTGGGCCCACACAATGCTGCTTTTGTGACATGGGAGGTCCTTGTGGGGATCATAGGTCATGATATCCACACACAGAGTTGCAAATGTCAGTCTGGATTCCTGCACACTGATAACAGCAGTGATGGCATATTAGCCTGTCTCAAGGCCAAGATTAAAACTAATAAAATGAAGCTTTCAGACATAACTGGCAATGACCTTCATCTCTGACGAGCACCTTCCAACACACACAATCAGCATTACATCATCTTTACAGACTTTAATAGGCAGTGCTACTGATTGCAGAGCCTGTCTGTCAATGTGCACGTTGTGAGGTTTTGCCTGTTTCCAATAGCAGTGGGAAAGAAAATCTGCATTTCTTTCAGCTCTAATTGGGACCACGTTGAAGTGTCCTGATTCATCCATTCATCATGGGGAAAATCTAGATTAAGCTGTGAAAACAGTCTGCAAAGAAGGCAACACACTGCACAGGGGCTCTGAGAAACATCAGTCAAGATATAATTGAAACAATCATTCAGCACAGCAGAGACGCCAGCAGGTATCTCCTTTATGGGCTCTGATGTCATTAAGTTTATCTACATACAGTGGTTCCCCAAAATTCCCAAAGAGTTTAAGGAATGATGTTTCCCTCTCCACACTGTTGCCCCCTTGCTTCCAGTAAAAATTGTTTTGTAAAGTGACTTTGGATCCGGTCCAAACAAACATCAATCATCCCCTGGGATGTACTGATCTTATCAAATCGAGGTCTAATGCATGTGTCCTCAAAAAGTAGACAAAACCCTGGAGACTTTCCCATGGTCTTCGCTCTGTAGGCACTTTAATCATCATCTACGTGGGCTTAGAGCCAAGAGCCAAAATTATTTGCTGTGAGAGGAATTTTTTTAAGTGGGATTTCTGTGGTATTGCAATAATATACCTTAGGAAATTAAAATGTGGGTAAATGCTTTAAATGTTAAGTTAAGAACTTTGCTTGCCTTTCTAAATATTTTGTAAGCTACAAAAATCACTATTTCAACATTACTATAACATTAAGTTTATCACATCATAAACTATCACCACAACATCCATATGATCACCCAATAACAGCATATCATCTTGTTGAAATTTTGCTGTTCGATCATCTTAAACTAATATCCTGTGCAGCAGCATAACACGCTTTAGTTTCCAGGACCAGAGCGCAACAGTTTCACCATTCACATTCAGAAGATGAAAACGCATGAGCCAGCAGAATGTTCAGACAGCAGAAGGGAAAAAAAAAACACAAGTAAGAAGCAATCAGCAGAGAGAGTGCACATACCGTCCAGCAGCTGATAGGCAGAGGAGCGATGGCAGCAGAACCGGAGGACTAGTAGAAATAATCCAAAGAACCAGGGGGGGATGCTGTATAAAACAGAAGGGAAGAGTTGGGAAAGTGACTACATGTTGACTTAGAACCACTTCTTCATTGAAAAAAACAGTGACTTTCATTTACCGTGAAGTCATCTTCAGTGAAGGTAAACTTAGATCCAAACTGAAGTTGTCCTGTTCATGTGTGACAGCCTTGGTAAGAGAGCGAGATGGAGCCCACTCCGTCTTTCTCACTCACTCCTGACTAAAAGCCTCTCACTCTTCTCCTCCTCCTCCTCCTCCTCCTCCTCCTCCTCCTCCCTTGCTCGCTCGCTCTCTCTCTCTGAGTCAAACAAAGGCAGCTTCAGTGCATGAGACTCTAGGGGCCCTCGCAAAGCTGAAATACGACTCCTCGTGTCTCTCTGCGGACCACAGTTTTCTAATCCAGCCCTCCCCTTAAGACATCACAAGCCCAAATACAAATTAACACACTCCAGTTAAATCCTCCTCCCACTGCTCCTCCTCACTGGTGTGGTCTCGCTCACTTTCCCTGTGCTTTAAAAGCACTTTTCTTGTGGGACCTTGACCTACGGGAGGAGATGCCTCGGGAGCTGCAGCATCAAATCCAAAACTCTCTTTTAAGTATATGTTGTAAGGAAAAGACGTTATCATTGGATCAAAGTAAATATTTAAAACAGCTCACATTACCACTGACATTACAGGAATGCGTTTTCTTCGTGACAACCAAGTCCACTATCAGACTGTTACAACCTCTAACTACGAAACACCAATTTAGTAAGCTTTCTCTTTCAAAAATGGTATAATACAATGGAAGGACAATCATCTGTCAATCATGAAATATTTGTCTTCAGTCAATAAAAGCATGCCCTAGTTCATGTTATTCATGATAGTGCAGAAACTGCAGTGCACAACCCGCCTTCCCACTCCGCAATGGCGAAAAAGCCCCGGTAAGCTCTGTCTGATATGTGCTGAGTCCAGGCTACAAGGAAAATATGATAGGTAACAGAAAAAGCATGGTGAATGTGTTAAGAAACAGGAAGCTCTCAACATATCTTGCAAATTTAGTATTAATTCCTCGTCAGCCGCAGTATTAATTCCTCGTCAGCCGCAGCCTGTCGAAAAAAGTTGGCCTTATAATGGTTTTAACCCACTAAAATTAGCTTTGTTAAACGTTAGGTCTTTGGCAGGAAAAACATTTTTAATCAATGATTTTATAATAACTCTGTCTTTATTTCATGTTTTTAACTGAAACTTGGTTGGACCAAGATAACAGTGCAGCTGTCCTTATCGAGTGTACCCCTCCCAACTTCAGTTTTATGAGTGAAGCTAGAGTGCATAAGAGAGGAGGTGGAGTTCCCATTCTGTTTAATGACTCCCTCCAATGCAAAAAGATGTCTTATGGGAATTTTGCTTCTTTTGAATATGTGGCTCTTCAGCTGAATTCCTCTTCTGGAGCTATTTTTCTAAATATCTACAGGCCCCCTAAATACTGTGCATACTTTTTTGATGACTTTGGTGAACTGCTGTCTATAATCTGTATTGACTTTGACTGTGTGGTTATTGTTGGTGATTTTAACATCCACGTTGACAACCCCCAGGAAAGAGGGACTAAAGAACTGTTTTGTGTTCTTGATAATTATGGACTGACCCAACATGTGACGAGGCCCACGCACAATAAGGGGCAAACTTTGGACTTGGTCATCTCCAAGGGTCTGGACATTTCCAAGGTTGTGGTGATTGATGTTGCCCTCTCTGATCATTCCTGTGTTTTCTTTGAGAGCGCTATCTGCGTGCACACAAATGTTAAAACAGAGGTGATCACAAAACGGCATATCACTGAAAACACTAGTGAAAAATTTATTGAGGCTTTCTCCTCAACATCCGCCCTCTCACGGGTCTCAGTCAATGAGCTTGTAGACAATTTCAGTTCTAAAATTACAAATGTTATTGATGCCATTGCACCAGCCAAGGTGAAGGTGGTCTCTGGTAAGAGAAGATCTCCATGGAGAAATGCCACGCTGGTTAGAACTCAAAAAAGAGTGTCGAAAAGCTGAACGCAGGTGGCGGAAAACAAATCTCCAGGTTCATTATGACATCTATAAAGAGAGCGTTTATAATTTAGAGCTGAGAAATGCAAGGCGGTCCTTCTTCTCTGACATCACCAAAAACACTAATACACGTGCCCTGTTTGCTACTGTCGACAGACTAACAAACCCTCCTGTGTCTGTAGCCTCTGAACTTCTATCCACCAGGGCCTGCAATGAATTTGCTTCCTTCTTCACAGACAAAATTCAAACAATTAGACAAGCAATCAGTGCCTCCATGTCAGTAACAGGATATGTCTTGTCCCTGTGTCCACTTAAAAACAATTCATAGCATGAGACAATATGATTCTATTAACCATAAAAACCTGGAGGACATAATACAACATCTGAAATCCTCCTCATGCTGCCTTGATATTCTGCCAACAGGTTTTTTCAAAAATGTGTCTAAATGCATGGCCTCAGATTTATTACAAATTGTCAACATGTCTCTCCTCTCAGGTTTTTCCCCCCCACAGGCCCTGAAAAAAAAATCATTAAGGCACTCTTTAAAAAAAAAAAAGCAATCTAGACAGGTCACTAATGAGCAATTATAGGCCCATATCAAATCTCCCATTTTTAAGTAAAATCATTGAAAAGGCTGTTTTTCAACAGCTTAGTGCTTTCTTGGCACTAAATAACTGTTTTGATGTCTTCCAGTCAGGTTTTCAACCACACCACAGCACTGAGACAGCTCTTGTTAAGGTCTTCAATGACATCCATTTAAAACACTGACAGTGGCAGAATTTCAGTCTTAGCATTATCGGATCTCAGTGCTGCATTCGACACGGTCGACCACAACATTTTACTAGACAGACTTGAAAACTGGGTTGGAATTTCTGGCACAGTACTAAACTGGTTTGAATCCTACTTAAAGGACAGGGACTACTTTGTGTCTATAGGTAATTACATATCTGAGCTGACAAAAATGACATGTGGAGTTCCCCAAGGCTCCATTCTGGGGCCTCTTTTGTTTAACATTTACATGCTTCCACTGGCTCAGATTATGAAAAACAACAAAATATGTTACCATAATTATGCAGATGACACACAGATTTACATAACCATTTCACCAGGGGACTACTACTACTGGTTCAACTCAGAGCTCCTTCTAGATGCCCGAGTTAGCTATATGCCTAGATATGACCCCTTGCACCCTGTGAAGTAAACTAATTTTGGCTTGCTCATCGATTACCCACATACAAGTGAGCGTTGGCCCATAGAAAATAGTAAGCTTTACCTTCAGGCTAACTTCCCTCTTTAACATGATACAATGCTTACATCCCAATCAGTGCCACTGCATCTTAATCTCAAACTCCATTTTACCTGTCCCACATTAGAAGACCCTGAGGTATTCCTTCAATTACAGTTTGCTCACAACCAACAAACCTCAGATTTGGAGCAGCTGAATTTCATTCCAACACCGTCACTGTCAAGCTGCCCCTAGTGTGTGGTGGTCATAGTTTGATACAACAAACAAAACATCATTATCAGCAACGGACACGCCACAAATAGAAAGTCAACAATGTTAATGAATAAATGCACTTTCAAAGAACTAAGAAAATAGACTGAACTGAGGCATTTTCTGTCCAGTAAAATGCACTCAAAGTCACGAGTTGCTTCTCCTCCCCAATGTGTGACATGCTGTCATGATTAAAAGTATGGTGAAGTTACACATCTCTGCTGGTGATTTAGCTGCCACAATGTCTGGACTCAAGAGCACTGTGGAGTGGTGTTAAAATGAATCTGCCTACAACAAACACTACAAACATCCACTAGTACAGCTGCAGGAGCCAGGGTGACAGTGGGGGCGGACAGATAAAGATGTGTTCAGACCTTGTCTCTGACAGCTCAGACTGATAAGAGCCATCATGGCCTGTGAGCGGTGCTGTTAGAGAGGCAGCATCAGGGATAAGCTGTCCTCACTTTACTGACCTCACGCAGACGGACCAGTGCTGTTGTGAGGCGACATTGTTGCATGTCTGTCAGGTGCTGTCTTTAATGAGCATTCTTCATATTTAAAGTCATCTTAGGTCAGACATTTGTCTTACACTACCTCATTTTCTCAACGTTAATATCGAGTCAGGATATAAAAAGGAAAAATGTTTTTACATCCACCTTGACAGTCATGAAGGATGGGGCAGCTTTTTCAATCCATTTATAAGATTTCTAGGTAATGAAATAGTTGAAATCTGCGACCAAAGGGGTTCCAACAAGTAAAATGAGTTCAGATGCCCCTGAACTGTATTTGTTTATACAAAAAGTAATGTTTTTTGTCTCAGATCCAGACACATTAATTCATAAACACAAGACATGCTTTATCCAAGGGCGTTTTCTCCCAGAAGCCAAGCTTCCCCCGTTTTTAATCAGACTATCATTTAATAAAAACACAATGTTTATGTCATCTCTTCCCCATTTCTCACTATCTTACACTAAGTGAAACAGCGCCCCTCTAAATACTACGCGTTGGATGTGTGGTGAAACACTATATTGCACCACTGTAGACTGGCCTTCAGTCTGACTATGCGAGGAGGCCAGGCAGAGTTGGATTCAGAATTAAATGACCAACCAATCAGATGAGGCCACTGTCATGCCACTGCCTAACTGATTAGTCAGTGTCAGCTTTCTGGCTTCACGCCATGCGATCAACATCATTCAGATGAAATAACGGGAGCTGTTAGCAACTTTAGCTGGTGCGGTTATGGAGGGTGGAGATTTGGAGTTTTTAGTTATAATAAATAGTTTTACTAAACTACCACTACAGCAGCAATTTAAGATTAAATCTGACGGAAGACCAACTCCAAAACTGGAGTTGGCCTGGACAGGATAAAGGGATTTTCGACGTCCAACGAGGAAAACTACATCCGTACAGAGTGGCTAGCTAGTAGTTGTTGTTGCGGAGGACAAAAAGCCAGTGGGAATTTCTCTAATTTCTCTCCAACTTCTCTTCTTCTATAACTCCTTTTCTCTCTCTGAACTTAACGGAATTGCAGCTATCTGTGCAATTTTTGATGTGGTTATTTTGCTTTAGCTGTGAATGAATAGTCATTTTAAGTAACATTGTTTTTACTGCGGTTGTGTACACATAGATAATGAGCACCACAGACAGCACCTGCCACAGGGCACTGGTCCAGGTTAGGCTACCTGAATAATTGTTTATACTCTGTTGGTCTGGTTGTTAGTCTTCAGTGATGTTGTG